ACAGTAACTCAGGATGCACGGTTTGCAAATCACTGTCGGGTGATATGTTCAAGCTCCCACTGGAATCCTGAACCAGAGTGATTCTCACAGGAAGCAGTTCCCAACTGACACCAGTTGACATCCAAGCGAGGATAAGAAACGAAACCAGGCTAACAAAACCGATGAAGAACAATAACTCATTGCCGATTCCTTCTATTACACTTTCAGTTGGAACAAAACTAGAAGTGTCCAGCATTGCTGCAAAAGATAAATTGGTAATGAAATGTCATTTCAGGAATTAGCATTGCAAGTTAATCCAAGATGGCGGACACAATCGCTCCAGAGATAACGCACCTCAATGTGAAAATGATTAGGCATATTGTAGTATACAAGCAGTGGAGGCAGAAAGACTATGCTTCTTCAGCAAGGATTCGCTCCAAGGTTCAGGACCCCATAGTCGTCCCTAAATAAAGGACAACTTGATGGTCAGTTCGGTTTGTTCAGCTCAGTTCAGTTAGTTACATAGAACCAACCTTGTACCAGAGATTCTTCGAATGTCGGAGTGAATCCCCCAAGTATGGCTCAATGCCTCGCGGAGTCACACAAACCGTCACACCATGGTAAGGTCTAGTCTCTTCGTGCCGACCTCCATTACCCGAGCCTTTATGATATCACCAGTGCTGTCAATGCTGATACCCTCCATCTTTTGGCATCCAAGAGATCTGCGTCGCCATCATAGGCGTTTGTTGTTGCTTTAGTTTCTCTGACTTCGCCAGAGGTGCTGGTCGAGATGAGATCATGTGTTCATTGCGACGTGCGAGCGACCTCTGACAGACGGTTTCAAAGCTGTGAGCATGAATTCTTCTACTGTTCTTCAACTGTCGTCATATTGACCATCACCATACCCATGGAGTCCTTGAAGCTTCTTTTCCAACTCAATTTGATATTGTTGAGGTAAACACAGCTTTCGCAGGTGGTGAACTGATTGTGGCGCAGCACATTAGCGAGACTCTTAGAATTGTAAAAGGGTGTGGCGATGTTGTTCCGGCAGGCGTTGACATCCGATGGTGGGGCAGTTGGAAACGAGTCCAGAAGACCATTGTAACAAGTGACTATCTAGGTACTAGATTTAGCGTGGACAACCGTAGGAGGGAGGTTATTCGATGCCGTGGAGCTTTAAAATCATATACCAGCAAGAAACGAGTAAAGAGGTAGTTGGATAATTCTCAAATTTGTGTAACATCTTCCGGAGAACTCGAGGGGCAACGGTATATCATCACCAACATCATCATCATCGTCACCATCATCATCATCACCAACATCATCCTCATCACCAACATTATCATCATCATCGACAGCATGATATCAGCGTTCAACACCGGTGCTTCACTGCCGTACAACCCTAAGGTTCATCCATCGCTTACCCACCCTGCTGTATGCGGCGAGTAAAGCGACCCGGCTGATGGCACCACGCGACGGCCGATGTGGTATGAGAGTATTATTAGTTGTGTAGATCATGGTTGTACGAGTGCTGGGATACTGCCAGGGTGCCCACACCTAGACAGGAAGACGATTGGGGTCATCAACCAAAGCCTTTGGCTCAAAAGCCTAACAGCAAGGCAGCGATGTTGGGCTGGAAATGCAAGTACATTACCATTTTTCACGAAACAAGTTGCCATGCATGTTCCAAGCCCCAACCTGGAGGGCTAGAAGACCGTGTTCGTCAGACCTCTACCCATGGACCAACCTGGTATGACTCTGTGGGTGTCGCGCGGACACCCCCGGTATAGTTCAATGGGTCGCCGAGGTACACAAACCACAGTAAGGTCCAGTCTCTTTTTGACGACATGGTACGATGCTGCCAGGCCCACTCAAACACTGGGTATCAGACCGAACGATGACGCCTCTTGAATCCAGGACAAATGTCCTCGCCCGTCCCGAATATAATTTAGCCCGAAGAACTTTCAGACGTCAAGTGCTATTGGGCGTGCCCGCTGACCGTGAAGTCTGGTGGACTCGGAAGGCTAAGGAAATAGAAGAAGCAGAGAATGCCGGGAACCCCCGAATACTATTTCAGTTGATCCATGCGAAGTGTCCATGGAGACTAGCTATGAGCGAAACCATCAAGGATCAAAGTGCTTCGATCGTTGGGCCGAGTGATTCGAACAACGGTTATCTTGATCACCAGCTGTCACCCATCTGGAGCCCACAGTTGACACAGAACCCTGAACGGGGTACGTGGAGCCTCTTATGCCCTCAGATATTTGACTGCTCATGTTCTCTGAAGCGCCAACGAGCTTCTGGTCAGGACGACCTGCCGCCCACATTGCTCTAAAATGGGGGAGTGGAGTCTTCGGTCAACGCTTGTCTGATCAATTCGCTGAGTCCACAATCAGGGAGACCACTTTTGACGAAGTGGATTTGGAGACTGGCAGTTTCACATCCTCAGTGGACGTAGGGCTCTCGCTGCCTTCGCCGGGGTCGAGGCCAGCGCTTGTGGTTGATTTGGTGGGAGGCTTCGCCGATTTTCTTCTCACTGGAACTCAGGTATCTGACTGGCAGTTCGAAGTTGTGGAGCGTATTATGTAGCTTACAAGTTGTATAAGTTCCGATTGTTGTATGGCCGATTAGCTGAGTGGACGAATCTGTGGGGAATTGATTGTACTTGTTAATTTGAGACTTCTGTAAAGGTAAAGTGTCATACCTCTGAATCTCAAGAACCATACGTACTAGACTACAGTGCTGATTGTTTCATCTTGTGGTTGAGACTTGGCCTACTTGGACAGTGGAACTGAGACGTCTTCAGGTCTTCGACAACCGTTGTCACAAAATCATAGCTCGTGCGGGTTGTGTCGGCGAAATCCTAATGAGGTAACCAGAAAGCTTGTGTTCGGTTATGCGACAGGGACTTCAATCGATGAATATGTCCACCACCAAAAGATGCTGTGGTTTGGTCATGTATTGTGGATACTACACTGTCGTTTCCCGAAGACAATGTTGCTTCCCGAGTTCAGGTTGGTGAGAGCAGAGAGGTGGCCAACCATTGATCTGGCAGTGGGGATGAAGGGGATTTCGAAAAGTCTGTGTGTTATCGGTGCTACCCGCTTTCCAGGATGGGGTCCGCGTCATCCCCATTGCAGCTGGTTGAAAGCGCTACATGATATGGCTGATAATCTATGTCAGTGGTGTCTTTTTTAGTTTTCATCCAGTGTTTGGATGCGTGTCTGGGGGTGTACGCACCTAAGATTGGTTGTGGTGGGCTAGCAGGCAGTCCTCTCCTCGTCCAGTTGCATTCTTTTATTCACCATAATGATTTCAAATAAATCATGGTAGCACGGCAGGGAAGTATCAGTACTGGACACTACTGCTGTTCTGTCGATGTTGATCATGGTGGCTGGATTATTTTAGCAGAATTTATCAGCCATTTAAACAGGTATTGGGTGGGTGTTCTGGCGTCCATACTCGCGCGCGCACTGACAACGTCTCCGCGATTGGCGACAAAACGTTTATAAGTAAATTATCGAGCCCCGCGATTGGGTCAATATCCATTTGATCTGCCACCAATTGACACACCCGAGGTTCCAATATTTCGTTATACTGACAGGCCCATATTTGATACGGTAGGCTGCGAACTTCGACGTGAAACAACCATCTATCAATTTACGAGCACTGTGATCTAAGGAACCGTTGCAATCTGAATAAGTACGATCAACGACTGTACGCGACTTGAAAACGAGCTCACAAATCTCCAGCTACAGCGCATATCCCAATCTCTCGTATCACAGAGAGAAGACTGGACCTTTGGAGTAGAGCTTTTATTGCCTCAACCGAAGGCAAAGTAGGGCGGGAGCATCGTCGAATATATATTTTATTTTGAGCGACCTTGGGGAACGATAAATTTGCTAGCACACACAAAGTATAGCTGGCCAATAGGAGACAAGCGCGATCTGCAACATGGCGGGAATCGTAGGAAAATCCAAAATTTTGGAAAATAACTGGCAATAACAGCGCTCAGTGTTCGCACAATGGAGTTCAACTTTCGAAGGTTATGACGTGTCACTGATGAACTGAATTAATCGGACAATTGAGTTGGGAGTACCAGTCCAAACTTTTGAGCCCTATTTAGGCATCCTAGGATCTCAGCGATGCTGAGAAATTGTCCCACAAGACTTTTCAACCAGAGGAACAATTGCATCAGTGAACGCGTATCACAGAGACTGGACCTTTGGAGTAGAGCTTTTATTGCCTCAACCGAAGGCAAAGTAGGGCGGGAGCATCGTCGAATATATATTTTATTTTGAGCGACCTTGGGGAACGATAAATTTGCTAGCACACACAAAGTATAGCTGGCCAATAGGAGACAAGCGCGATCTGCAACATGGCGGGAATCGTAGGAAAATCCAAAATTTTGGAAAATAACTGGCAATAACAGCGCTCAGTGTTCGCACAATGGAGTTCAACTTTCGAAGGTTATGACGTGTCACTGATGAACTGAATTAATCGGACAATTGAGTTGGGAGTACCAGTCCAAACTTTTGAGCCCTATTTAGGCATCCTAGGATCTCAGCGATGCTGAGAAATTGTCCCACAAGACTTTTCAACCAGAGGAACAATTGCATCAGTGAACGGTGAAATTTGGTGAGCTGCAAAAATATCATAGTAGATCAGGACGGTTTTTGGTTTGAGCACACACACAACAAAATGCAACATTTTATTCCACTTGTAAATGTTTTGCAGCTGGGAGCATTGCGTGGATAATGGGCACCGGCAATAACTCAACAATTAAGCAGTTTTGGGGGTACTGATATCCCCAACAGGAATGAACTGCGCCGATAACGTTATAGAGTTTGTGCGCAATGTTTTTCGTCGTTACTTTTCGTAGTCGGAAAATATTCTGCTGGTGGTTTCATTTTCAGTTGTCAATGCTTTCTTGGTTCTCTCTGCTTCCGTATCATGTTCACTTTGATCTGGTTTTGTCCAATCCATCTTAAATCTCCAGAAAACATTTTTCCGAGGAACTAATGGAGCAACGAAATAACGTACGGCTGATTTTCCAAGGTAGAGAACTGAAAGAGTACGATTCAGCGCAAGGACACTCCAGTCAACTTACGTCCAATCAGGGCTTAACAAATGAGCACCATTCTTTGAGACTATGTGATTACAATGTGCATGATGGATCCACTATTCATTGTTTGGTTACACCTGCGTCTACACCAACCACCACATCGAGTGAGGTCCAACTTGACCGAACTAGGTTTCCTAACCATCGCGGGCGTAGTTCCACCTCTAATGACTCTATATTGGCTGAATTCGACATGGGTACACGTCTGATGGAGCCTTTATTTGCTTTTCTTCTCGCCTTCACCTGGTTTTTCCGTATTGTCTATCGACAGTACTTCAATTCCGTTTCCACTTTTGCTCTTATCGCCCTGTCTGTGTTCTTTTGTGGCGCTGTGTTTGCTGTGAACTTTATGAACGCCGCATCCAACTTTGTGACTTTTGCGACTCGCCGGAGGAACTCCCCTGAGCCTTCAACTTCTGACTTACCAGATCCTCAAAATACACCCGACGCGTCCAGTGACGTACGTGTTGTTACGCTTACAATGGTAGCTCGACGGCTGCAGCAAGGTCAAGCTGTAGTGAGATCTACCGAAGTACACTTAACAGGCATGACTGAGTCCCAACTTCAATCGGGTACATCAAGCTCCCCACCAACCTAACAACTCTTGCACGCACATTTCTTCTTTGTTTCCCCGAAAAACTGTCTGGACGAGGATCTATTATTTTTCTGGTACTGTGATATGGGTAGTGATGATCACGTCACCTTGTACATCCAACAGTTCACAGCTAATATAGAGTGTATATTTAATCTATCTTTTCTATTTCTGACAATCGTGCTGTTTTTTGACTTCTGATCTGTGCCATTAAACATGAACGGGTTCTGGGCATGTGCATGTTTTAACACGGGGATTAGCCTGAAGTCACTTTGGTCCATACATTTTGTCAGGTGTCTTTCGACGGAAAAAGACATTCAACCTATTGAACGTAGTCCCTCTTTGTCCGTGAGCACACGTTCCGTGATGTATAAAGTATCCCTTCACTTAAGCAAAACCGATTCGTTTCACATCGGAGTTCATGTGGTATATTTTATTTTCAGATTAGCTATAACACAATGTGCACTTTTAATACCACAGTTCAAGTTAACTTGATAGACTGAACTTCGTCCTGGCAACTTCGATGTCATGTGCCGAAAAGATACAGCCAAGCACGTGTTGCTTCTCATTACCTAGCTAACGGAGGTAGGTATATCTGTCCCACAGAGTTCACGAGCGCTGAGCTTAAAACTGGATGGCTAATTGAATGATGTACTGTATGTCTCCAATTTCTTTCGTTGCTTCGAACAAAGAACGTCGATCTTGGAATGTAGAAACAGAAGAGTACATAAGCTCAAGGGCTCGCAGTTCATCATGCCGAAGAGTGAGAATTCTTACTGTCATTGCTTCATTGTGATATGTTTTGTTACGTTCACTAATTGGTTATTTTGCTCGATAATGGCGCCCTTTCAGTGCACTCAATCCGGTTGTTTTGTTCAGAGTTTACATTTTCGTGTAGCGCTGGCCATTTTGTCACTATTCCTTTCAGAATAATACTCAGCTTGGATCTCTATAGAGCAAGTGGATTATTCATGTGTGCCTTTTTGTTGATTACTCAGATCATCTGGCAGGAACTGATGGTCATGGTACCCTTTCGCGTCCCTTCTTTACCGTAGTACAGTCATACACTGCCCGAGTCGAAACCATGGAACACTCAGTTTTGCCAGAAAGATTAGTACAGATCATAAAGAGTATTACCGTAGTACATACACTGCCCGAGTCGAAACCATGGAACACTCAGTTTTGCCAGAAAGATTAGTACAGATCATAAAGAGTATCCATGCATGCATATACAT